ATGAGTCTGTAAATAATAGTCGCTGCGGCTAACCCGCCTAATACTGAATCAAGATTACTTTCCAAATTATAGGTTTTTAGTACTTGTTCACCTGTACCTAGTACGCAACCCCCATCGGGTAGTCTGCTAGTACTATCGCAGGTGAACTTTTGGCCGCGGAACCCAATGTTGATGACAATTTCAATTGCATACTTTAATGGACTTAACCAATTAATAGCTCTGAAAACCCCTGGCATAGATGGCGACATAATACCTGCCATAATGGTTCCAACCGTCAATACTACTGAAATCACATTAACAGCGAATCCAGGATGATGAAAAATTGTATTAAAAATTATTCCAATAGATTCACCGCAATTTATAGTACAGAATGAGGAATATACCATGGCGAAGAACATACTTGGGGTACGCGGTAAACCAATGACAAAAACAAGGAAGGTACTAAAAAGTACACTCGAGATAAATTCAAATGGTAATTCCAGTAGGGTGTATGACAAGAAAAATGGTAGAACAGAATAAGCATTATCATCATGTTCTCGATAAAAGACATCTCTCTCAAAGGGATAAACTGCAATGTTAGTAAGCATTCCTACAAAATATAGCGCGGTAACTTCCTGTAAAAGCCCTAGTCGGTTAGAGATGGAGATATAATCACTCTTAAGTGGGGAGAAAAACAGGGCCAAGATGACTCCTAAGCCAGCTACTTGCATCACCCTAGCCATAATTTTATCTGGACTACGCATAATTCCTAATGTTGATCGTTGGAGTAAAATAGGGAGAGCATATAACCAAGGAGCCGATCGAAGTTCAAAAGATCCTAGCTCAGCCGCTAGCGTTATTCTTTTTATTTGTGAGAAGTCCCGTTTGTCAGAATTATTGTTGACTCTGGTTCTCCACAAGTCGAGTAATGAATTAACTCTTTCTCTGGAAATATCTTCCTTGTCCTTGGACTGTAAGTTGACTGAAATCAAATCAATGATATGATCTGCCGGATTAGTTAATGCAGGACAAGGAAACCCGATATTTTGAAAGTGTGAAAGGGCACCGTCTGAACTTCCGTTATAGGCTACACGGCCACCCTTGGACAACAGCAATACATTGCCAAATTTTGAAAATAAATCTGAACGAGGCTGATGAATGGTGCATATTACAGTTTTCCCTTCGTTTGCCAAACTTTGTAAAACCTCTAGAATAGAAGCTGCGGTAAAACTATCTAATCCGGAAGTAGGCTCATCTAATAGTATAATCTTGGGCTTTGATAAAAGCTGAATACAAATTGAAACCCTTCTCTTCTCACCCCCTGATATACCCTTGATGAACTCACTACCGATCATAGTATCGCTGCATTCTTTCAATCCCATTCTGGCAATAAGCGCGTCAGCTTGGCGACGTTTTTCGGAACGACTCATTCTTGGAGGAAGCCTAAGGTAAGCTGCAAAGTAAAGGGTTTCCCTTACTGTTAAAGAGGGTAATAGACCATCATCCTCCTGGGTCACGAAAGAGCAAGTCGATTGAATGACTTTTTGAGAAGGAATAGCATTATTGAAAATAATTTCCCCAGATGACGCATATTTAGATACTAGGGAGCTGTTCAACCGGCCGGCCATAAAATTAAGCATAGAGCTCTTACCTGAACCCGATGGTCCTAGGATTGCATTGATAGATCCGGCTTTAAAATTAGCAGATATATCACTAAGAATGAGGATTTCTTTTGTTTTTAGTTTAATATCTCTTTTTTGGATTCGTAATTTGAGTTCGTGAACGCTTATATCTATACCAGAAGCAACTAAGTTGGCATTTTCACACTCAATGTTTTTGCCGTTTACGTTAGAATTGGATAAAGTTAAGTTCTCAGAAAGTTCATCCTTAACTTCAGGTTCGGGTTTGGATTTTTTTCGCCTGGAAACTGTTACATTAACTTTGATATATTTCAACCCGATCAATGCCGCTAAAAGACATCCAATCGCCCAAGCCAAGCAAACGCATACTGGTAAAGCAATCCAATTTTGTGGAAAATCCAACACTTGTAAAATATACGCTCCTGTATATAGCAAGCATTCGTCAGAATTTATGTCACCGCTTGGGCAATCCCCACTAAATCCTGTAAATTGGTTACTGATGTAAGCACCAAAGCCGTACCAAACAAAGGCCAGATATTTAGTCCAGCGAACATAGACTGGCATTTGGGCGGCATTAACAAAATACCCACAGGAAATGAATTGAAAAGTAAAACAGAGGTTTCCGAATAAAGAAGCAATAGCAAATTCTCGGGACAGTGATACGGAAAATAAAGCAAAATTCATAGCGATATGATGTAAAATTAAGTTAATCGAAAAATAAATAAAAAAGTGGTGCGCACCATCGGTACGCAATCCCGATAGAAAGTAAACCAAAGTAGAAAATATCAAAGGAACAAACAAATCTTCCGTAAGAAGCTTAGCGAGACGACGGGATATTACAAATCCCAAAGGCGAAACGTATCCTTCGCTGTATTCACGATCGAAAATACGAATATCAGTATTGCATAAACGGTAACATTCATAAATAATAAGTAAATATGCCTGGATGGAAGTCGATATATATAGCAAGCCTTGCATGGACCTAATACCTGTTAATGAGCCGTCCAACTGCAAAAATACTAAGCCAACCACGATACCCATAACAATAGATTCTAGGAAAAGACCAGCAAAACTCATAGGGTCGCGCCAACTACACAACAAAGATCGCCTTGCTAGAACTATAATTTCGTTGCGTAAAGAAGTTTTGTTATCTCTAAGGTGGTGCGGGGGTTCAGGCTTTTCTTCGACCATAGGAAGATTCTGGCTAGAATTCCAAACAGAGATCAGCGATTGAACTTGCTGAGATGATTTTGATTCTAGTTGGGGGCTTCTATTGTCCACTGAAGAAATATCAATTAAGTAGTCAGCTGGGTTAACTTTTTCTGGTGTTTTGAAGCCTAATCTCTCAAAGTGAGACACTGAATTACGCACTGGTCCAGAGTAGACCGACTGGCCCCGGGTCAAAATAGTTATGTTATCGATTAAGAAAAATATATCAGATCGTGGTTGATGAATACTCATGATTAATGTTCTTCCTTTAGATGCTAAAAACCGCATAGTTTTGACCAATAAATAAGCTGAGTGAGCATCTAGTCCTGTAGTAGGTTCATCAAGAAAAATTACAGATGGATTAGACAGTAACTGTACGCCGATACTTAGGCGTCTTTTTTCCCCGCCGGAAAGTCCACGATGGGTAGTACTCCCTACTTTAGTGTCAGCACATTCTTTCAACCCTAATTCAAATATCACGCCCTCAACTAGCTGGCGGCACTCGTTTTTGGTAGTTGCTGAGGGCAAGCGAAGCTGAGCTGCGTATAAAAGGGTTTCACGAGCAGTTAAATTAGGCTCGAGGTAATCTTGCTGTATCACATATGCACTCCTTATCTTTTTCAGATTCTGGTGGCCGTTAAAGTAGACGTTGCCTGTCTGAGAGAGATTGGCAGAACTCATTGTATTAGCCAAAATATTCAAGATTGAAGTTTTACCAGATCCACTACCGCCAATAATTGCTGTAAGAGTACCGGGCTTAGCATCAAAAGATACATTGCGAATGATCTGATCTTTGTCAAATAGAATAGTTCCATATTCATCGGTAGACACGATTGTCTCCTTATCATCGTTTATTGATGGGGATGGGCTCTGTTTATTTGTGTGAAAATAGGAGAAGAACGATGGTTTCTTGGGCTTGATAGACACTGTTAAATTAAGATCACGAACTGAAATATCTACCGGGTCGACATTAGGAACTAGAAAGGCATCCAAATTATCTGTAGGAATTGTAGCCATGACGGAATCAACACACCCACTCTTATTAATCAGTTTTATTTATAGGCGTATTGATAAAATACGGCGATATTTAACAGGAAAGATAAATTGTTATACATCAATAAACTATGGAGGTGGGGAAGAAATCTTATTTAAACCAAAAGCAACGGGTTTATTAGACTCCGTGGTTCGATTTTGGATGGCGAAATCGATGGGACGGCGGAGTTAAATTAGTCCATTTTTATGGTGAGGCTGAGGCTGAGATTCAGTAGATTATTGATTTTTTTTATTTATTACTTCATAATGTAAACTGAGCTGATATTTTTAAATCCAAAAAAAAAAACTGGTCTTTGTATTTAATAACGGGAGAAACTGTAAACGTTCAATTGTCTTATTGAAAATAGTTTTTTTTTTTTTGTTTTGATAAAAATCAGTGCATTTAACTCAAAATTATTCTTTGAAAACGAAATCATGCCGCTGATTTAAAAAACTTGTGAACTTAAAAATAACAAAGAAACCCAAAAAAATTACAATCCTTTTCTCAAAAAAAAAAAATGGCTTTAAAATAAGTAACTAAATATTTAGCTTTTTTGTAAAGTATATTGTTCAAACCTTTACTGCTCATAAAATAAGACACCGAATATGATGCACAGGTAACACTCCCGCATTATTATAGAGAAATAATAGCACCGGAATACAATATTTTGCAATTGTTTTAAGAAAAAGAAAAAGAAAAATACACAAGTTTTAGTTATGTAGAGGCTTCAAAGAAAAAACTAGTATTATTTATATTTGCTATCTTGACTATATCTTGTAATTTAAGTTGGTTTCCAAACGGTGTTCAATAACAAAGCAACAAATGTCAAAATACAAGACTTGAAGTATACTTGACGCCTGACCTAATGAAAAACATAGATTAATGACATAGTTTTATTATTAGTCGGGAACTATTCAAATAATGATCGGATGGAATGAGGAAGCCCTCTAATAAGCCTAAACATGAAATAATAATCGGACAGCACGCAATATCGCTGTCCGCTACACAAGATAGCCCACATATATAATTACACCAGCGGGCAACAAAGAGCAATTAAAAGCAAGAATGAATCAAAATTAAATCAATCACTATTTAAACAGCGCAGCCATATAAATTTATCAAGTATAAAAAAAACAAAGCTTCCTTGCCAGGGGTCGAACCTGGAATCTTTCGGTAGTGACTTGTAACACACGTTAAACGTACGTTTCTGATTCACAGAAATCGTAGCCGAACGCCTTGCCATTGGGCCACAAGGAATAAGCTAAAGAATGGTGATATCTCTGGGATTCGAACCCAGGCCTCCGAAGAGACCAGGACCTTAACCTGGCGCCTTAGACCAACTCGGCCAAAATACCATTTTCTCTAAAACGAGAATAAATGACATATAGAGACACAGAAAAATCTCAGTTACTTTTGTTCATATTTTTGCTATTGCTGTGAGGAGCCTGAACTTTGATTTTTTTCTTTAGGGATAAACAGCCAATTACTTGGATTAAACAATCACTAGCAGGTGAATCACCAAACATTTAAAATATTGCGAGACGCTTCAGAAACACATTTATATCCAAAAAACGAGTCAAAATATTTATCAATAGTCTGCCCGAAGCATGCTGCGAAAAAGACCCAGGTCTGATCCCCTATGAATTATGTAGACATATTACCAAAGCATCCTAGCATAGGATACATGCAATTGAATCGAATATATAGTAAATAATGAATAGTATGAAATTAGATGTTGCTAACACTCATTCATTGATTTCTTTGCACATGGCCTTTCTGGGAAACTTCCAGTGCTTTGGGACGGATATCTTGTCACTGTAGCAGAGTTATGGGCGGGGGCCTTTGAAAGAAGCTAGAAACGAGCTTACTACACATCATACTCAAATAAATGAATTAAACAGAGCCGAAAAAATATTAATTGATTATTTTGGTTAGAAATATTTTGAGAATTATATTTTTAGGCCCAGAGAGGGGATTCTATAGTAAACCATAATAAATAAATAGAGCTAAAAGGACGATTACTTCTTAGCACCTTGAGCGGCAACGGCAGCGGCACCGGCAGCAGCAGCTTCGGGATCAAGGTAGTAGGCGGGCTTAATAGGCTTAAGATCATCGTCAAGTTCGTAAACCAGGGGAATGGCAGTAGGAATGTTTAATTCAGCAATATCGTCATCAGAAATATTGTCCAAAGTCTTGACGAGGGCACGGAGAGAGTTACCGTGGGCGGTGATCATAACGGTCTTACCGGACTTCAAGTCCTTGGAGATGTCAGAATCCCAGTAAGGTAAAAGACGGTCAATAACCAACTTGAGAGATTCGGTCTTGGGAATCACATCAGCGGGGATGTCGGCGTATCTTTCATCGTGGGCTTGGGAGAATTCAGAAGAGTCTTCAATAGCGGGAGGGGGAACATCGAAGGAACGTCTCCAGGTCTTGAATTGAACAGGACCGTATTGTTCAAGGGTAGAGGCCTTATCCTTACCTTGGAGGGCACCGTAGTGACGTTCGTTAAGTCTCCAGTCACGCTTGACGTCAATCCAAAGACGGTCGGCATGGTCAAGGGCAATGTCGGCAGTTTGAATAGCACGGGAAAGCTTGGAAGTGTATAAAACATCGGGCTTGAGGCCAGATTCCTTCAACATCTTACCAGCCTTCTTGGCTTCTTCTTCACCGAGAGCGGAGAGTCTGACGTCGACCCAACCGGTGAAAAGATTCTTTTCATTCCATTCGGATTGACCGTGTCTAACGAGAATTAACTTGTGAACCATTGTTGATGTTTAGTGTAAAATGAGCAATTGCAATTTTGTGGAGAACAAGAAAAAAGAAGGAGAAAAGAGAGGCTGTAGGACATGATACCGTCCTTATATATCTCGAGACCATTCCGAGCGCCAACTGCTGACTCCGATACATTGATTATGTCAGCATGAGCCCACTCACGTCAGAAGAGGTCAAACTCCCATGACAAGAGAAACCCACAGGCACGGAGTATAGGCGTGTAAATCTCAGTCTAGAATGGTTTTCCCATGTAGCCAACCTTCACGCTGTATACATCACCGGTTCTGCAAGGAGAAGCGGATTGGAGCTTTTCGAGAAAGCTTTTTCGTATTTAATTGCATTAATTATCTCGCTATGTTCAATGCCAATGCCAATAATAAGAGCTTTAGCTTTGGCGGATCCAATGGTACTGCGTCACCTTTTGGTTCTGCCAGCACCAATGCCTTTCAAGCTAGCTCGGCTACAACAAATCCCGCTCCCGCACCTATGTTTGGGGCCAACAACGCTAACACCCAAGGGGGCGCCTTGAGTTTCGGCAATGCTGCTGCATCCACTAATACTGTTGCTAATTCATCAAGTACTATGCCATCAGCAAGTTTTGGTAGCTTTGGTGCCGCTCAACCCACAGCAAATGCTAACCCTTCTACCACATCATCCACATCAGCCTTTGGTTCCAAACCTACTACCACAGGTGGATTTGGCTTTAACACTGCTTCCGGTGATAACAAATTTGGAGGATTTGGTACCCCCCCTGGATCATCCAGCGCTACCGCCCCTACTACTACCGGCGGTCTCTTTGGTGGCTCTTCCTTTGGAGCTCCTGCTATCACAACTCCTGCTTCAACTGGCTTTCTTGCATCTACCACCCCAACAGCCGCTAGTACCACTACTAATTCTATGGCTGCTCCTAAACCCAGTTTTGGTGGTTTTGGGGCTGCCAACAATTCTACCCCAGCTTCTTCCACATCTGCATCCACTGAAAAGCCTGCGTTTTTGTTTGCTACGACCGCACCAACGGCCACTACTCCAACTGGATCATCAACAGCTTCACCCGCCCCTCCCACCTTTGGAGGCTTTTCTGCCAAACCTGCTGCACCTGGTAGCGGGTTATTTGGTGGTACATCTGCCGCTCTTGCTATCACCACTACTGCTTCCACAGCTAGTTCGTCCACATCTACATCAGCTCCTGCTTTTGGAGGATTCTCGGCCAAGCCTGCTGCCCCTGCTGGTGGTAGTTTATTCAGTTTAGCTCCTAAGCCCGGCGACAAACCTGCTGAAACAACTGCCTCTACTTCTACTGCCCCTGCTGCTACTACCGGTGGGTTTTCTTTTGGTGCTGCTAAAAGCCCTGCTCCTGCGGGTGGCCTATTTGGTGCTGCCCCCAAGACTGAAGATAAACCTGCTGTCCCTGCTGGTGGATTGTTTGGAGCTGCCCCTAAGCCTGATGATAAATCCGCTGGTGGCGGGCTATTCTCTACTAAGCCTGCTGCTCCTTCTGGAGGTAGTTTATTCAGTTTAGCCCCCAAAGCCAGCGACAAACCTGCCGATACAACTATTACCACTTCCACTGCCCCTGCTGCTACTACTGGTGGGTTTTCTTTTGGTGCTGCCAAAAACTCTGCTCCTGCCAGTGGCCTATTCAGTGCTGCCCTCAAGTCTGAAGATAAACCTGCTGCCCCTGCTGGTGGGTTATTTGGAGCTGCTTCCAAGACTGAAGATAAGCCTAGTGCTCCTATTGGCGGGCTATTTGGAGCTGCTACTTCTAAGACTGAAGACAAGCCTGCTACATCGGCTGGTGGTGGATTATTTGGAGCTACCTCTAAGACTGAAGACAAGCCTGGTGCCCCTGCTGGTGGGCTATTTGGAGCTGCTGCCTCTAAGACTGAGAACAAGCCTACTAAGACCACTGGTGGATTATTTGGCACCGCCAAAGTTGAAGATAAATCTGCAACAACCACAGCTGCCCCAGCTACTGCCGGTGCCCCAGTCACAACAACTAACTTAAAGAACAAATCAATGGAAGATATTATCAGTAAATGGACGACGCAGTTAAGCAAATCTACTACTGAATTTCAATCACAGGCGAAGGATATTGCTGAATGGGACCGTGTGTTGGTAGATAACGGAGAGAAGATTTCAAAGTTGTTTTCTTCGGTAGTACAAGCAGAACAAAGCCAAGGGAAAATTGACCAATTATTGACATATGTTAGTCGACAACAAGACGATTTAGAAACATTATTAGATGGGTACGAAAAGCAAGCGTCGAATTTACTGGAAGATTTGGGCCGCTCGTCTGGCAATAGTAATGAATTTAATGCTACAGGTTCACTTAATGGTGCCGGAGCGTTACAGCCTGTGGATCAAGAACGTGAAAAGGTTTACAGAATGGCTGAAGGCTTGAATGCTAAATTAGATAATATGAGTGGTGATTTGTCTAGCATCATTGGCGAAATTAATAATATTTCTAATGAAATCAATCATGTCAAGGATGATGATGCTTTAACTCAGATTATCAAAGTCTTAAACGCTCATTTAAGTAGTTTGAATTGGATTGATGAAAACACAAACCAATTACAAGACAAGATTGAGCAAGTACAAAAGCTAGAAAGCCAAGTTAAATCTCGTCTGAATACGTCTAGAGAATACATCTCCAGCCGTAGGTTTTAGTTTTCTAAGACTCACTATTATATATTTTAGGTACCAAGATAATTTTTTGTTAAGATTGTGTTATTTATTATAAGAAATATTGTATATTCGCCGTCCATGTTCTAAACAACTAATATATTTTGGATTCATTTGGATAAATATACTATTTAGCCCATGGAGCTTTTGTAACTATCTGCGAATCATGAGCAGGAGCTTTAACGGTAGACGCTGACGAACTCAAACCACTTATCGCACTTCTTGTACTTCCACTAAAACGCTTGCTATGTTCAGCATTTAACTCGCGTAATCGGATTTCGTCACTAGTAAGATTGTCCTCTTGCTCATCAATCCCCAGAATCGGTAAGTCTTTATTATTTTCCAGATCTCTCCAGGGGAATAATACGCTACCGAATAAAAAATGCTGAACCACAGGGAACTTGCCCAAAACTTCAGCTATATACATTTTTCGCATCCCACGATAAACCTTGAACCAACTCATAACAGCTGATACATCAAACAGCATGGGACTGTGTTCATGGAAAGGCCCACGCTTGACTTGTCGAATGAATTGCAGGCAGTTGAAATATAAATTTTCAGCAGCGTACTTTTGAATAGCTTTGGGGTCCAGAGTAGATTTGAGCAAGGGTGCAGAAGACAATGGTTTGGGCTCAGAGGATGGGTTAGAAAAATCCAGAAACTGAGCAGACCCTAAAAGATAGGGTAGGTGAAAGTGATCATCGAGACCCCATACTCCATGCGAACCAGCAGGCTCAAGATTATAGGTAATAATTAGCCGCTGGATAAGTTTGAGATATTGAGAAAACATCAATAGCCAG